TATTTTTCAAACTTTCGTCGTCCGTGGGATTTGAACCCTAGACCTGCTACTTGGAGAGGGTGACAACTTGACCACTTTACTAAGCCGCTACACCTCATTTGAATATAAATTTAAATCTAAGTATATTTATATTTAGATATAAAAACATTATGTTACATTATATCACATAAAATAGTATATATCTAGATATATTAATCTGGATAGAGGTATTAACTCTAGTATAGCTCAGTATGAATTAAAGTTGGTGTGATTATATTGTAATAAATAACTTGTTCTTTTATATGCTTTAGTATACTATTTATTATTGCAGTAGTGTTGTTAGTAAAGTTTGTATATTTTTAGTTAATAAAATAGTTGATTTTTTCTTTCTTCTCTAAATTATTTTTGATTGAGCATGCTGTGAATATTATCTGTCTTATCTGTTTTAACTATGTTAGTATAAAGTTGTAGGTTGTTGAGTAGAAGTGAGTTGCTAGGATTTTAGGTATAGTGATATCAGAGAGTTTGGTTGTAATACTAAGTTTCTTGTTTATTTTCTCTAGTAGCATATCGGGTATAGTAGATAAATGAATTGAAATAAAAATTTATATTGCTTTGTTTATTGCTTTTAAGTTGTATTGCTTTAATAAAATATGTATGAAATGTTTTAGATGCAGTGTAGGAGAATGGTATGTTGTTATCAGCTACCTGTTTAATAATACTTTGCTATATATTTGTGGCTTTGTTGAGTGATTTTAGATCTATAATTGTTAGAGTTAATAGTGAAGAGGAGTTAATATTCTTTCTGATTTGTTTAGTAAATTTTGTTTACTCTTCTTCAGATGTTTTACTGTAGAGAAAGGTTTTCTTTTTGTGTTTTTTTGTTCTTTGGGGTATAATTTCTTATAAGGTATGCTATATAGTTATTATGATTTTGTAGTTACTATTTGTTGTTGTAATGGTATGTGGAGCTGTGGAATTTCGAAGTCTAAAGCTATTTTTGAGTTGATCTATATATCATCAATTTGACTTGATTGCTAGTTACATTGCCAGGTAAGTTTGGTGATATTATAAAAATCTATTAAGCTAATAAATTCTGTTAAAGCTAGGTGGTTTAGAAGCAGGGTATTGTGGAAATTCAGATGATTCAGATTGTTGTTGAAGTCATCTATAACTATTGTATGTGTTTGGTTTAATTTAGCTTGTATTACTAACTTAATTGCTTGTTATTGGGCTTTATTTACTACTATGAATATTTGAGAAGGTAAGTAGATTGCAATAAGTTGAAGTTTGTTCTTATAGGAGAAATAGAAATTGATTTTCAGAAGTAGGCTTAGGATTATATATATATTATAAATGTAGAGCTAGAGGTAGAAAGTTAAGGCAATTGCTACCTCCAAACTTGATTCTCTGTTTGTTGCTATTTCTTTATCATAGTTTGCTATGTATATTTTGTAAAAAGAATTAGATAGTAAGGTATAGGAGGTGGTTGATTGAGGTAGCTTTGTCTTAGTCATTATAACTATATAATAGTTGTTTTCATAACAGTGTTCTAACCAGTTTTGTAGTTTTGTACTATAAACATTGTGGTTTGCAATTGTAAGATGCTTTATCTGATCTAATAGGTACTTAACTAGTATAGTATTATTAATAAAATTGAGTAGTATATGTGGTATACTAGACAGTGTATCATGTGATGATGGAGTTGTACTATTTATTGTGGTGATTTGGGTAGTAATGTTTTAGCTTTTGTTTGTATTAAAGAGGTAGATGCTAATACTATGGTGAAAGCTTTGTGAATAGGGTTCAAGACACAGAGGCATGGGCATGCCTCGGGAGTATGCTTATGGGCATGCCACTTGGCTATTAGGCATATTCTAGTCATATAATATATTATTGTATCTGATTGGCCAGCATGTTGAAATAGTTGAGGTTATCAGAATTTATTTTAATTAGTATAAACCTCAATAATCACTGTTTTAGACAAGTTATTATACAACAAAATTTCAATTTAGGCAAGTTTAAATTTTTATTTACGACATTTTTAAATTTATCTTTTTAATACCTTGCATTTATATGATTTGATGCAAAAATTGCATAATAGCAGATAGTTGATCCATAGTGAGAAGTTCTTTTACAGTAATCATGATAGAAATCATGAAAATTCTGATACAAACTTATTTTAGCTATATATTGTAGTTACCAGAATACAAAGTATGTCATGATAAAGTCTTATAACAAGATTTTTTACAATAATATAATAAAAATTATAATAATTCTAATGTAAATTAACTAAACCTTAAATAATCATATATTATATATTGCTAAAAATTTCTTACAATAATTCACAATTTATTACTATAACTCTAGCAATAGAAATTTTTTATATTAAACTATAGTAGAAATTATAATAACTTTAATATAACATTTCAATAAAACCAATAACAGAATTTTTTACAGTAAACTATGATATAATAACTTTAATGCAAACCAAAAAATAACTAAATAAGATAGGTAATATAAAGCCCTAGTTTTTTATATAAAAAGAGCATGCCTGTGGGCATGCCGTGACTCAGAGTATGCTCTCAAAGGCATGCCTAATTTTTTACCTGTATCTCGAACCCTATTTGTAAGCTTTGTAGAGTGTATTTGATTTAAGTTTTATTGCAAAATAAGGAGGTATATATGGGTTGATAGGAGTATAATTGTTAAAATTTTTCTATTTTGGGTTAGGCAAGTCAGGAAGTTGGAGTAAGTAATCAGGTATAGAGTTTATGAGAAGTGTGTTTTTAGTTTGTTCAAGGTATCTGACACTAATAAGCAGTCACGAATAGGTATTTGATAAGTAAGAGAGGAGTCGATATTTGGTAGTAGAGCAGTAAGTCTTTTAATATTTGTAGAAAAAGATAGTTTTTTGTTTGAGTTCTCTTTCTGTGAGATTGCAATTCAGTTTGCTAGTATTTTAGCAAAATAGTAGTGAGTTCTCAGTTTATGTATAATATCAACTAGTTGCTTAGGTGTTGTGATAGAAATTGTAATATTTATTTGGGTTATTTGAGGCAGGTTATTTGGAAGGTTAGGTTTGTTTGTTGGATTGATAGCAAGTATGCTAGAGGAAGTGATAAAATAAAAAAGTATTGGTGTTTGATTTCTGCAAGAAAATTTTTTGTAATAGCTTTATCATTGATGAGGTAAGTGTAATTAATTTTTGTTTTGATAGTTGTTAAATCAGCTAGTAGACATGGTTTTTGAATAATATAATTATTTGGCAAATGTTTGAAACCATAATGTGGCTTAAATAAATTTGTAAGTTTTTTAATATCATCTTTGTCATTAGGTTTACAAGGGAAGAAATATTGAAGATTGTGAGATAGCTATTGAAGTGTTAAAAAAAGTGGTGGCTTGGGTAAAGAGAGTAAAAAGTAGGCTAGAGAGATTTTTTTAACTTTGTAAAGTCTTTTTAATTTTTTCTGGTATTCAGATAAATAAGGTAGAGCTGACTGATTTGTAATTGGAAATAGATCTCTTAAAGAAGAATCAAGTTGGGAGTGATTATTTGAGAGTTTTAATGGTTATTTAGTGAAGAAGTGGTTAGGTAAAGTTTTAAAATTGTAGATTTTATAAAGTTCATTAACAATTGGTCTTGTATTTGAGTGGTTCATGATCAGTAAGTTGAAAGGTAGTATAGATTTAATATCTTCAGATATCTCTTCTACTAATTTGGGGAAAGGAGAAAGTGTTTTCAAATATGTTAAATGGAATAGTTTCTTTGTGTTCTCAAATTCAAGAGAATGATTAATTTGGGCAAAGTTTAAATAGTAGAAGATTTTTCAGATAATATTATGAGGATTAAATTTTAAAAAATCAATATTTGTAATATAGTCAATAGTTAGTTTAGCTTTGAGCCTGTTCAGAATTTGATTTCTATTATACTTGTTAATGAAGTAGGTTTCATGTTGTCTCTTATATTTTTCTAATACCATATTGAAAAAAGAGTCTAATTTTTTCTGATACTGGGAAGCAATTTGTTTGTCATAAATAAAAGATTTAAAAAATGCTATATCAAGATAATTAAACTTAGCATCAATTGTAACAGGTAGATTGTATAATATAGGTTGAGATAGGAATTTGTATTTTAAGAGGCTAAGGAGCTTTCCTTTATCTAAAAATGCCTCCAGTATGATATCATTATTCTATAGGGTAAAGTTGAAATGCTTATGCTTTTATAATAGTGTATAAGAAACTGACTAGCTTCAAAGTAGTAATAGATCACTAGAGAGTACTTTGGAAAATTTGTCATAAAGTGCCTGAATATATAAATAATAAGTATTTTGTGATTCTATAGTAGAAGTTGATTTAATTTTGACAGCTTTAGCATTGGGTTCAAGATTAGTTGGATTGATTTGTATAGGTTTTTGGGTGGTATTAGCTAGTAGTTTGGGGTCAGATAAAATAGAACTAAGGCTAACTAGATTTGGGGGCTTGAGTCTGTTTGAATCTGGGCCTTTTCATCCAGATTAGGTTTGTTTTGTTCAGAGTATAGAAAAGCTAAAATTAGATGATAATCATCAAATCCAGGCTTATTCAAAATAAGATTTGTTGTTGTAGTGATCTGTATAGGTGATGTCATGTAGTTTACAGACTGGGGTAAATTGCTTTGCCTACTTTTTGCAATTTTTTTTGAACATCTTGAGGTTGTTGGGTTTTATAGTAATGTGTTTTACTTTTCTTTGATATGGGGGGTGTTAATGAGCTAAGATTGGCTTTAGAATCTTTTGGATCATTTGTGCTACTAAAAATATACTCTGAAACAGATTGCAGCATTGTTTTTTGTTAAAACATAATTATTTGGTACTCTCCAAAGAGTGGATTGAAAGTAACAAATGTTTCTTAAATGATACGATTTCTTTTATTCTTGTCTATGTTTCTGGGTTAGGAGCTGTTCTACTTAATCGAAACTAATAAGTTTCTAAAGGGCTTAATTTATTTTACTTAATATGAATAGTCTAATAATTTGCTTTAAATATTGGTTTATTGTTTACTTAATGATTTTCAGGGGTAGTAAAAAAAGTTTTTTTTTTTTTTGTTATTAAGAGGACCTCTTTGGCTTGGGAAATATTTTATTAAAATATAAACGGAGTTTTATAATGTAGTTACAATAATAGTACATCAAGCCACACATGCACCTTTTGAGTGCCTAATTTAAGTAGTCCGCCTGAAGGTTCTACACTATCTGCTATATCTGCACTCCAACTAGAAGGGTACCTATTTAAACCATCTGGTTTCAACTACCTCTATCATAACTCTAACTCAAGGGTATTACTCACCATATGGTAGTAGATTTTGCATCTATTCTATTGGAATTAGCACCCTATATTAGGACTTACTAACTTAAGCTAATCTATCCTCGAGGTAAACCTAACAAAATGGTATATGTCCTACACATATATTCACCTGCATGTTCTGTAACAGCTTCCTAATTAGTACATATTGATCTGCCATTCCGTATTTATATCTCATGCCACCTTTTGGGGTGCTGCCATTCTATAGATGTTTCTTAAGTACAAACCTTCCTAATTAGACACCTATTATATACTCCTTGCTCTTATCCAGTTCACAACAACCCCGATACCCACATTCAGATCATTTTCTTACCTGAATTCTTTATCGGTCTCTCCTTTACTTCCAGTCGGCAACCTGGAAGGGTTGGTCTGCCTAGGCTTTAGATACCTGAAAGACACTCTCTCCTTGGTCTATACTTTTGGAGCATATAACCTTTTTCTCCAGTGCGACAACCCGGTGGTTCGACTGGTGTGTCCTCTGCTATAGGACCTGGTTGCTCAGTTAGAAAGAGTTTTTTTTTGTTAGATGATTTTTTATATTTATTATATTATGATTAGAGATAGATAAATCCTAGAAAGACAGAATAACTATTAGTATTTTAATAACTTCTATAGATACTTAAAATAATATATTATAAAATCTAATTTATTTACCAGTTTTGCTAATGTTATATACAACTCTTTGTATCGAGATAATAGTACCAATTTTACAATATCAACATAATCAGAGCAATGTGTAGTGATTTAAATCTTTCGCCAATTATTAAACTAGTTAAATCTCCTAAAAGTGATATACATGATAGATAGGTTTTGTATTTCCAAATTTATTAAGATTAAGATGTACTAAAAAATTATTCTTATAAATGAATATGCTAAAATATAGTTGTTTTGCTTATATCTAATGAAATAATAATAACTTTTAATTTTTTTTTATTCTATTAATATATTTTTATTATTTTGAAAAATTTACCAATTTTACAAATTTATAAAGCTTTTAAATTAGTATTAAATTAATTATAAATTAATAGAAATTTCGCTCCGGACTTGCAACAGTTTCTGTTTTCCTACTGTAGTTAATTATTAATTATTATTATTATTATTATTAATATTATTATTATTATTATTATTATTATTATTATTATTATTATTATACAAGCATTGGCTAATACTAAATTTTTTATATATTAATATTATACAAAATACAGTATATTTTAAACTGTATAGTTAACTTATAATCTAATTGTTATTAGCATACAGTACAGTATATACAGTATATATACGTATAAATACAGTATAAATAATACAAATTTACAATATATAGACAATATACGTAGCATTTAATAACAAATATATATACTGTATAATAGATATAAGCGGAATCGACAATGAATATGATGACATTTTATTATTATAAAAGTTTTTATCATAAAGACATTCAAAAAAAAAACAAAAAAACAAATTACCAAAAGAAAAAATTTGTTTTTATAGCATTTATCTATAGTATTTATACGCAGTAATAGAGTTAAAATAATTTTAACTAAAATAAGTAAAATAATCGATATAAAAAAATCGATACGTCACCATATTATAAATATATATATATATTATATAAGAATTATATACTAACAGCTAAGAAAAAATATATATATAAATAAGGTCATTCATTCAAGGTAATACGTTATGATCGGATACCTTTATCCGAGCTTAGTAAAAAGAAATAAAAACTTGAAAACATCTGGTAAAATTTGAAATTTTCATTTGACGAGTCATACGGTGTGATATTGGGGTTGTGTATTTAAATTAGTTACACATTTATAACTCGTGATTATGATAAAAGATCGATTTTTTAATTAGTATAAGACACATGTCGAACTGTCAAACTTTTTTGTTTCTACGAAAAAAATGACATTATAATTAACGTAAATGATAAAATTATCATATGTATAAATATAAGACAATCATTTGGGTATATATAAAGAATCATATGCATCAAAAGTTTGTATAAAGGTAGATTTGATAGGATGAAGAAAAAAAATCACAAGCCAGTATACCAAAATGGTATTGCTTTAAACGTGAACATAATGATGAGTGGCTGTGAAATCTAGGTTAACTTGGAACCGTGGCTTTCACGATCAGGTTTCTCTAGTAGGAATAAGTGGAGTATTTTAAACTCTTTGTTCTTTTATAAAGTTTATATTCCACAATTTCGTGAGAACGTTAAACGTGTGGCAAATTAGAACGTTTTACCGAATAAAGACATTATTTCAAGGATTCTAAAAAAAGTAAACAAAGATTTTATATAATTTTTATTTATAATTTATATATAAAGATCATTGCAATTATAAGTGTACAAGCCATAGTGTGATATCGAAATTCGGTCATAACTCCAAATATGGCTGTGTGAGATATTAGTGATCAGGGATATAAATTTTAAAATCCCCATTTTTTTTTTTTTATGGAATTCATCTAAAGATAAACGTTTTACTTCTACGTACCAATCTTAATTCTTAGGAATTAGCTTAATTCTTAATAGTTAATTCCTAATTGATGTTATTCATGTTACGAATTCATGTATTTTACGGGTGGGTCTATGAAAAGAATTCAATTTTTGTTGCAATAACATATAAACAATTAAAAAATCATCATTACCTTATATAAAAATATTAACACTTGCCCCTTTTTTAAAGAAAAACATATATAAAATATAAAGTATGATGCGTACGTACGAACTTACGTATCTGATATGTATAGTACATGCTAATCTTTTATATTCTAAATTGTATGTATTGATAAAATCTATATCGAAAAAAATAAACCAGTATAACGATAATAGGTATAATAATAGTGTACATCAACTGACATTTATTAATATGATATAGGCTGATTAGCTGTGCTACCATTCTCAATGGTTATAGTTATATTGTAAAATTGTATTGTAAAAATAAATAGTATATAAGGTGTATTTTTGCACACCCAAACCGAGGTTTTTTTTCTGTTTCGTGAAAATTTTTTTTCTGACACTACATAAAAGAAAGGCTTCCTGTCAGACAATTCTAAATTATTCATCATTCATTGCTTTATTATCCAAAAAATTCTAGGGATAAAAACAATTATATATATGTGTGTGTATATCTGATATACGTATAAAACACGACATATTAAAAACGCAATACCTTTACACAAACAAATATTTGAAAAAAAAATAAAAAACAGACTATAATTTTTTTTTTTCTTTCTTATTTTTCTTTCTTGCGTTGAGAACGTCACCCGTCCGTCTTTTACCTGCTTGATTTTTTATTTTATGTTATGAACACATCGACTGGTACTTCGTTGTCAGTATTTAACAGTGACGGTGAAAAATTCATAATACAGAGACCTCCAGTAAGTAACTCTTTTTATTTGATTGTTACTTGTATTATTTATTTTTTTTTCATATGTTTACCGAACAAGAAACAAGCTTTTATCCGGTCTTTGTAAACTGGGAAGGTCGGCAATGAGTATACCTGGGTCGTGAGCTGGGTCTATGCTACTTAATATAGTGACAATATATGGTCATACCACACATACAGTTATATAAACCTTTTCTAAATTCTTAATCCGTCCTCACTGCATAATGCATGTCGTTCCTTCTTTTTTTTTCTCGCATATTTTATATTTAATATTTTCGCGGTGTAGATATTCACTTAACTTTTTTATTTTATTTTTTGAGCTGCATGTATTGTAAAACGTGAATACATAGGTAACTGATCTGGACTGAGATTAACTGAGATTGCAAATTTGGAACCGTTCTTAAAATCCGACCATTATCGTTTATATATTAATTATATTATACTTTATTTATTGTATTTATATATATATATAGTCTATAGTCTATTTCTCCCCCTCGTTTATCAGTAATTTAAAAAACGAGTCGGCTATAAGCTTCGTTTCGATTATTCTCGAAAAAAAAAACAATTTTTTTTTGTTTTTTTTTTTTTCTTTAAGATACATTTGTTATAAAAAAAAATCATTATTTTATTCTTTTTTGTCTTAACGGAATACGTGTATCATTTTATTTTCCCTAATAGCGACAACGAAGACGATCCAACAGCTCAAACGACATACTGGCGCACGCAAGTGTTAAAGCCGTAAGATCTCCCAGGAGAGATGCTTCGTATAATAATATACCACGTCCTCCTAGGTTAGCTTATGATACTTCTTCACAAGCTTACGCTCCAATAATGCCGAGAACACCTCCTCCATCTCGGCAGGTGTATATTAGAGCTGACTATGGTCCACCACAAGCTCATTCACCATATAAGAACGAAATAAATACAGCTTATAGAAGTGGTAGTTCTCCTTCGAGAGGATCAAGAACGACAAGTTTTGGAAGTAATACAAGCGGCAGCAGTCGTATGAGTGCAGGTAGTCAGCAGGTACCCTCGTCTTTGTCGGCTTTTTATAGTGAACGTATAGAAAAAACGACAAGTTTTGATGATGAGGAAGATAGTGCGGGCGAGGAGACAATGTCATGTAATTCACCAATTTTTGATGAATATGATGATTCTTTTACTGTCGATTCAAGTCTTGTGCAAGAAGTTTTCTTATTACGCAAGGAAATCGACGCAGTTAAAAATAGTCTGGCAGGTTTACAAAAAGATCGTGTGGACACGTTGAACGAGAAAAAACAACTCGAACAACAATATCAGGAAGCCAAAAATGAAGTTACAAGAACTTTAGAATCAAGTACAAATGATTTATTATCTTATAATGAATTATTAAATTCAAAAGTTCAAGAACTTTCTTTAGAATTATCTTTTGGTAATTCGGACACTACTTCTGATGATAATTATCATGAATTAGCTCCAGAATATGAAAATATAATGAATGATTGCGTAAATTTAGCAAAAGCATTAGAATTATCTCAAACTCAGCTTGAGAAAAGTAAACGTGACTTTCGTGATCTTTTATCCGTTAAAGAAGAAATTGAAATAAGTTTTGAAGCTCAAGAACGTGAATATTGTGAACGAATACGGCAGTTTGAAGCCGTAATAAGTGGTCAATCTGTTATGATTGATCAAATGGAAAGTTTATTAAGAGATGCTGAAGGAAAAATGGATAAATTAATAAATGAAAAAATAAAACAACAACAAGCCGCCGCTGCCGCTGCTGCTGCTGCTGCCGCCGCTACCGCTCAAAAACAAAGTCACCAAAATCAATCGAATCAAGATCATCAATCACGACAATCATTAACATCAAGTTTTTTGGCACATCAAAGACAACAATCTGGTATAAGTTCTATAACACCACGCGATCATCAGCGTAGCCATTCGAAAAGTCATCCGAAGAGTCATTCAAAGAGTCATTCAAAAAGTCATTCGAAACAGAAACAAAGTATAAGTGGATCAACGACTATTACTGCCACCGGTTCGGCTGGTTCAACTGGTTCAGATAGTCAAAATGGAGGAAGACGAAAATCAATAAATAATATGGAACATTGTCAATCCTCCGAATTAGTACCATCATATTGTTTATCACCACCTCAGGTACATGTGATTATGATTAAACAATCTCATAGATCATTTCGTGGGAATTAGGATTAAATATTGACGCGCATTTATATATATATACATATATATTTATTTATTTATTTTTATGATCTAATTAGACCCGCATACGATCATATGCAAATCCAGCATTGCTATTTACAGATGAAGAACGAGTTCGACATCATAAACGATTCAGTAATGTCTATTTAATATATATATATATATCTTTATATTTTCTTTAATACTTTTTAACATAACTTTCTTTTTTATTTTAAAAGGCCTGGCAAAACGATGGGTTGAAGATGACGAAGTATCAGAATGTCAACAAGCAGGTTGTATGATCAAGTTTAATTGGTGGAATCGAAGGCATCATTGCCGGAGGTATGAATCCTTTATTATTAAACTATTTATAAAGCTATTTACAAAGCAATTTTCAAAGTAAAGCAATTTGTAAAAAAGATTTATAAAGTAATTTTGTAAAAAAAAAATTTGAAAGCAATTTTGTAACGCAAATTTTTGATGATACTTTTTAATAGATGTGGGAACATATTTTGCAGCACGCATAGTGCCTTCTCGATGTTACTATTTCCAGATGGTAGTGAAGATTGGGGTGGCGTATGGTCAAGAGTATGTGAAGGATGCTTCAAAAACACATAATCATTGTCCAAATTATGATACAAATTAAAATTAAGATTGTCTCAATTAATTGATGTAATTGTGAAGAAAGTCGAATTTCTGACAAATTCCAAACAAACACAAACATTAAAGTAAATGGGTTTAAAAAACCAAACTTGTTAATAATGTAATGTACTTTTGAACTTTCTTTGTATTTTAGTCTTGGGAGTGATGGAATTTTTCAGGTTTATTTACTTATTAGCTTATTGCATTAATTGTAAAGTTATATACGTGCACTTACTTTAGCACATAATATGGATTATGGACTTTATATATACTATAACTTATTTTGTTGGATGAACTTTGGTTATATTTTAACTATACTATCTTAGCTATCTTAACTATATACATGTATATACATATATGTAAAAAAACAAAAAAACAGGCATTTGGTTTTAATGAATGAAATGGGGCGGTATTTTTGTATATTAATTTTTTATATCATTAATACAAGTTTTAGCACCGCCTTTTTTTTTTTTTTTTTTTTATTTACATAATAATATTGTCATAATATTGACTTTGTTCTTTTGTGGATAGTATTATCAAATATCAATATATATCAATCATAGCGAGGCGTGAATTTAGCGTGAAAAGTACGTGATTGGAATCCCGAAAGCAAAAGTTGCACGAAAAAGCAGGACGCGTACTACCAATTCTTTGTAATGCAATACAATATACAAATTTGGATTTCGCGCATGATTTCAAGCTTTATAACGAATTATATAATTAGTAATTAATTAATATAAGGCTTAGAGTTTTTTTTTTTAAACAAAGGATCCAAATAAATCAATGAACTCGTTGATCATTAAGTGGTTCAAATTAAAAGAATTTTCTTTATATTTCTTTATAGTGTAATAATAGAAATTCAGTGATTTTGTGAAAATTAACCGTTATTTTTGATACATTTACTTTATATATTATACATATTTGATATTATGTTATTTATTTGGATATTACTGTAAGATAATCTAAGTAACCTAAGGAAAACAAAAACTCGGGGTATATCGATATATGATTATCATTTTAAGAAAAACAGCCGGCTTTTTGAAACGGTTTATTCACGGTAATCAGCCCCTTGAATTGCCAACATGGTCAACTAGGATCAATCTTTATGTATAAATAAAAAACATGAACGCATCAATATAACCTATAACTTTAAAGAAAAGTGAATTTTTTTAAGATCCTTTTTTTTTTTTTATTTATATATTTATTTATAGTGTACAGGGAAAAAAAATTTTAAATTTATGATTTTGAACCAATCAAAGATGAACAAAAAGGATTTAGATCATCAAATTACGTTTAAAGAAGTATTTCTGATCCTCTTAATATGTTTACTTTTTGCCAAAATTAAATGTTTAAGTGATTTTTATCGCTGTGATGCGAAGTTATAATATCAGATATGCGAAGTTATACGTAAGATGTTAAAAATTATTAGACAGGGATTTTTTTAAATTTTCCACGGTTTAATTAGTGCATTAATAGAAATCACAAGATCTTTTTCTTTATGCGGAATTAGGTAAGAAAAAAAAAAGTGATACGTACTAACTATATAACTTGAACTAAACCTTATATGTGATAGCGTTTGTGAAAGTTTAAAATTCATATTAGTTATAGTAAAGGTAACTAATGAACAAATACAGAATAGATTTATATGTACGTTCATGCTAATAGTATGCTATTACCTATGAAGATTAAAAAAAAACAGGTAAAATGCTGAAATAAAAAAAAAAAAAAAGAAAATTCATGTATAAAAATTAAAGTTTAATGTATTAAAATGTATTTCAATACACCCCACATCACCCCCCAAGCAGAATCAAGAATTTTCCAGATTTGTTTAAAATGAATTTGCCGGGCACCTTTATGATTGAAAAACTTTATTTATTGGCAGGCGGAAAACCGGTAAAACTCCTCTCCTTTTCTTCGTGATATGCATCTCGCATTAATTGCAGCTCTGTATGATCAGCTGATCAACCCATGTACTACTATTGATTCCATTCATTGACCGAAAAAATGATAAAGTTCTAAAAAAAATGGAAATAAAAAATTAAGTGTATTTGTTTTTAAAAATAATAACAGTTAAACTGTATTCGAATTCTGGAATTTCGATTATGTTTACTATTTCTTGAAACAAGAGATAGAACCGGTTAGAAAAACGAAGAATTATAGTTGTTCCTTATTTCTTGTTTCTTGAAAAAAACATTCGAATGACATTCTAAGATCAATTGTGAACTCGAAGCTGATCAAAAATAAAGTTAGCTGCGTTCATCCAACTATATAAGATCTTTAGTTACGCCTAAATCTCAATATAGCACACTCGAGACATTCATGCATGTGATAATTCAATTCTATGCTTTAGTAATAATCAGCTCGTATTACTAAGGCTGAAAATTACTTCTTGATGAAAAAATTTTTAAAATACATGACCTCCAAGGTGTTTTCTCTATTGGTTAAAAAAAAAGTTTGTTTTTAATTTTTAAAGATATACAAAGTGATACAACATTTTAGAATCATACAAACAAACACTGCCTTCTAACGCAAACAATGAAATACACGTGCACACAATATTTCTATTGTGTTCCTTTTTATTTAAAAAAAAAAATATAACTAACATTGTTAACAGTTTTCGTTAGTCTGACATCGTGCCAAATTCTGCGTCAAGGAAAAAAACTCTCACATCCGTTTTTAAAACAGTAATATGGCAAAAAAGAAGTTTAGAATTCATTGTCCTGCAGGAAAATTTCGCTTATTTTTGAGAATTTTGATGTAATTACCCTGTCGAATTGAATGCACAATATTAGAATTTACGAATTTATGATTTAATGTTACGTTTTAACGTAATAATAAAAATCTTATGACTACCTTAATACTGTAATACTGTAATATTGTAATATCACACAACATCACGTGTTTCTTATTTCATAGCCTTGTTCAAACCTTATAACTCCACGTGTATAGTACAAAGAGCGACCAAAAAATTACCCTTGATAGAATACAACTACTTTACTTTTCAAGTAATCCGATAATAAATCCCTGGTTATAAATTATTCTGCATGTTCGAAAAATAGATTCCGGATCTGGATATCGGAATGCATCGTTCTTAAATTTCTTCCGGCATGTATGTACGTACCTGGGTATTCCGGACGTTCATTTCTTTATATATTAAATCCTTATTCGCTATTAATAAAAAAATTTCATAATACTGTAATAACGATAACGCCCATCATCTCGATGCCTGGCATACATATACATACATATCTTTGAAATTTCCCAACAGATGACATCAAGATACTGTATATATGCTTATTATTTCTCTTTAGATAGACGCGGTAAGGAAAATATCTATCGGAGGCAGAATCAAAATTAGCGGGGTGCATTGCTGTATCAGCATTGGTGCCATGCTACGTATCAGCTATGAATAATTGAATGAATGAAGTACGCCATATCTAAACGATATCTAGACGTCAAGTATATGTGTGTTGTAAATTATTACTAATTTATTTCCTTCTTTCTCATTAAAATTAATGTTTTTCTCGATTAAGTCTAATATAACTTGTTTTAGAATACGCCTGTAAACACGTAATAGCCCACGATATCTGATAACAACTACTCGCATATAATTCTTATAGTCAATATCCATTTATATAACAATCAAAACCTCTATATTTGACGTACGCCGTCTATGCGCATATTATGTGAGCTATGTGAGTTATGTGAATATGTCCACGATTTTTCCAAAAAAAACTTTTTGATGTAACTTTCTGTTCATTCCTACGTTTGCATTGCTTTAGTAACTTTTGTAGTAATTATTATTATTATTAGTGTCCAATTTTAATTTTATACAATAATTCCGTCGTTTTGATTTTTTTCTCGCTAAACGCCGATTAAATTTTAATCAATCCAATAATTATATAAGCACAATCTTTAAAAAAAATTAAAAAAAATTAAACACGCATATTATTATATTATTATTCTATTTGTTACGAATTTCCTTTTAAGTATTTTTCTCCTTTTTTCAATAATTATTTTTTAGATAACAATCATTGTCATCTGTTGGTACATGAAAGAAGGAAAAATGAATGAAAAATATTGTTCTTTGTCTCTTTTTTGGGAATGTAATCAACAAATCGCTAGCGAAAAAAAAAAAATGAAACTACCACTTTTATATTAATGAATTTAATCCCATAAACATCACATGATGATACCTATATTCTCGAGAAAACATTTTCGGTATGTGGCGACTTTCGGTGTATCAAACAGTGAAGCATGATCTTGGTTTCTCATTTCTAAATCAATTTTTAATCTTTTATTATTAAGTACGAATGGCTGATGTATTTTTTATTCTAATGACTATGTGGCTACGATAATTTTGAATTCAAACATCTATAATCTTACCTAATTACTATAATTTAGTTTTAGGAATAGTGTTAGCTTGGGTCTACAAAATTGGGGGGTTTTTTTTTAATATGAACGCCAAATTACCTGAGCAACTAATTTCATCATACTCACTTACAGTAATATCGGATTACTCAGCCCTCCGGATTCTACTTGGTCTCTTTATTTATAATATAACGTAAAAAAAATAAAGGTCTAATTAAACGTTTTGGTAATACAATAATGGTACGTAGGATCTCGTGCTTTCGTAATTTTCAATCGTATTCTTTTTTTTAAAAAAAATTTTTCTTGAATAAATTTATATTATATTACTTTTTTATCTACCATTATCTCATCTTTTATTTATATATATCTTATTGTTTATTTACTGTATATTCTATATATTCTATATATACTATACTATTTTACAAAATATTAAAAAATAAAAAAAGATAATTAAGCAAAAGGTGATATATAAAGAAAATAAACACACGGTTTGAAAAGATTTTTTTATCAAAGTAGAGAAATTTAAATAATAAAATAAAAAATTATAAAAAAAATAACTTCATTTTTCGAAATAAAAATATTGTTAACAAAAATTTAAGCTTTAAAAAATTATTTAAAAATAATTATCTAGAAGCTATATATTTTTTCAGTGTTCCGAATCGAGCTGGCTCAATTAGGCTCGTCAGAATTTGGGATTGGCTCGAAAGGCGATAGTACAAATTACATAATACAATTTCCACTATTAATTTACATCTCCGCTATTAATCATTAATAGCGGGAATAAAAGAAAATATCGTATGATGTAAATTAAAAGCGGAAAATGTATTACATAATTTGTACAACCGGCTCACAAGCCTTTCAAGCTAAAATCGAGCCAACCCCAAATTCTGACGAGCCTAATTGAGACGGCTCGATTCTGAACACTGTATTTTTTTATAAAAAAAAATTAAAAAGTATAGTAAACATAAATAGTTAAAAAAGCTAATTAAAAATTTGATAATTTATACTAAATAAATAATATAAATTAATTTATTTGTAGCTATAGGCTATATATAGCAATACTATTAAAATAATCTTTTTTATAAAAATAAAATTTTATTATTAGTTAGATTAGTTAAATTAAAATTAAAATTAGAATTAAGATAATCAGAGTTAGAATTAGAATTAAAATAAAATAAAATTGCAATAAAATATATATAATATAGTATATAGTATTGTTATTATTTTTTAATCAATTTGTAGCAAAGATACAAAGTTTAATTTTAGAAAAAAAAACATTTTTCTTGACAATTACTTGTACTAAATTTTCTTACAAATAAAAAACAAAAATTTTATTAAAATTAGATGAAGAAATACTATAAAGTAATAGTTATTATTAAGAAGTTACAAAGTAAGGTAGAAATAGCAAAAAGTATAAAAAGAAGTTTAGCTTTGTATAAAGAGAGCTAGTTAAGTATTTGGGCAGAGAAATTATAAATAACAGTGTTATTATAAATTTGAACTCAACCAATACTTATAGTGCATTGGTTAGTACTAAGATTTTTAACTAAGCTATTTGTATAAAAGAAGTATTAATAAAAAGGTTGGCTAAAACAATTTGATAAAGGTTATTAGATACAATATTGTTGTGAAAAATAGTAAAAGATAGAGAGTCAATGATATTAATAGAAGGTAAAAGTAAAATATAAAATAGATTTTTAATATTAGCAAATTGAATAAGATTAATATAGTTAGCATTAAGTTTGAGCTAGTTGTTAAATTTTCTGTCTAGAAATTAAATAGAAAGAGTAACAAAGACTTCCAATATATAGTAGCTTAAAATATTGTTGGAATTAAAACTATAGCCATTGTATAGTTTACAAAAAATAGAAGGTAAAAGATAGCAAACTGAGTAAGAAGTATCAATATTATGTAACTAATAAGTAATAGATATAGTGTTGGATTGATAAAATATTTTGTAAACTTGGCCAATAATAATATTTAAATTATAAAAAATAAATAACCAGAGTTTGAAAGATTTGTTTATAGAGTTGGTTTGAAAAGCAAATAGATTGTAACTAGAAAGTTAAAAAAAAGTTGCAATTGTGTAAGAAAGAGTATATAATAAAGTATTATTTTTTAGAGATTAGGATCTTATAGCCTAGTGGTTTAGATGTCTAACTCTCTACAGACAAAGTTGATGGTTCGATTATAGCTAGTGGTAATTAATTTAATTAATTATTTCTGTAACCTTTAGGAGCTTTTGAATATAAAACCTTGTAGCAGTAAAACTATATGATATATATATTTGGTTTATAAAGAATTCTTGAAAGGAGCTCTGAGCCATAGAGAAGTCTGGGCACTGTGTGTAATATAGGTCACAAAAGTTTACTACAGAGTGAATTTATGATTGGCAAGATAGTACCAACAACCCTAAGGTGGTATTGGGATCTTGATTAGAAGGATGGCTATATGTGATATATTCAAAAGTAGTGAGAAAAGCAATGAATATAGTAAAAGGCTATAATAAAAGGATGGCTTTACCAAATATAGAACACCTCTAGTGCAAAAAAACAAGAAAAACTGGCTAAAAGAAACTCTGAAAAGTATAAAAACAAGCGATCCAGTAGTATGAAAATAAAGATGGCCAGAAAGTAATGTATTACACAACCTATATAAAAGTTAATGATAAAATACAGCAAAAGCACAGATCCTGGATCACTGGTTTGTGATAGTGATTAAATAAGGTATATAACTTCTATCTTAAGGATCTAGACTTCTGTAATATTATACTAATAGAAAGTACTATAAAAGAAGCAGTAATCTAATTTGGTAGTATATGATACAAATATCTAAATTAATATGAAATAACATCCTAGTTTGGCACAAGCAACTGTTGAGATATGGCTAGACTCTTAAAGTAACTCTTTTAGAGACACCAAACTGAAAGCATAAAGAGCGTCCACTCGAAAAACACCAATTTAGAAGTAATACAAAAACTGAATTAGGAGTAATGTGATAAGTAATGAGAGGTAGAAGTTAGTTGGTGGATGTTGTACAGTAGTATATAAGCAGAATATATATAATAAAAATAGGTTTGAGAACCATCCAGTAAGTTTGAAACCAGTCTAGTGCAGGATGGTTGATAAGGAAGTAAAATCTCATATAGCAGGTCACATATAAGTACTCAAGTTAGTAACCGAGTGAGCTAATACTGTATATATATTAAATAGTTGTAACTATACTCATGATATTTGTAACCAAAAATTATCTAAGTATAAATCTAATAAACAGTAGAGACAAGACTGCTAAAAAAAAAATAAAAAATAAAAAAAAAATAAAGTATTATCTTTTAAATAAGTAAACTAGAAGAAATTCTCTCAGTTAGAATATATAG